GAAAGGCACTATCTGGAGCTCGTTCGCTTTCCTCTTGAAACCATCTACAATAGATTCTAATTCATCTATTGTCTTGTCATCCTTGTTATGTTGTTTCTCTAAGTCAACCACTCGGATTCTCAAGCGTTGGTTCTGATGTTGATTGTCTACCAAACGCCTTTGAGCAGTCTTCAGCTATTCTTTCCAAGCTCTTTCATCAGGCCCCTCGAACTTCCTTTTTAGACTGTAAGCTTCGTCTTTCTAGTATTCAGAGGTTACTTTCAACTTTGAGTTATCTTTGACTTTATCTTGATAGCCTTTTCTTAAGTCTTCGAGCTCAAAACGAACTCTTTTCTATTCCCTTTCCAGTTTGTCTGCTTTATCTTTCTGTGACTCGGTATCGAGCTTCCATTGATAACGTTCAGCTTCAAGTTCCTTAATCCTTTGCTTCAGTTGTTATTCACAACTTCAAACTCCGCCTTGGCTATCTCAAGTTCGGAAGGGACAGGCCTGAGATGTTCTTCCATAGTCTGAGTATCTTCACAGTCTGGCACCGGGACGTTATCATTCTTTCTTAATCTTCGCCACTCCACATAATCTGGAGTAAGCATGTCTCTGGCAGCAACGACGTCCATTCAAAATACTTTCTTCCATGACTCAGATGCTTCCTTGATCATCTTCATATAACTGTCACCGTTATACACAAACTCTGATTTAATTAGTTTGTATGTTGTGGGGACAAACTGACGTGCCCCATACTGCCTCAGTGCCAACAACAGAACATACCCAACTGTACCACAAAGTCCGAGTAAGGTCATAGTGTCAGAATCCCCACAACGAAAAATATTGTCACCGACGAATAACCAAGGGGCTCTCCAAGTAATATCTCGATCTTGAAGATGTGTAAAGACTTTCATCCGCTTTTCTTTTGAATTACCTTCATGCCACTTCCTAGTGATGAATTCTCCCAAAGGTGAATAAGTGGTGCTAAATCGACGGTAAGCAACCCCGTTAGTCTTCCAGAAGTGGCTGTGAATCCAGACTTGAAGGAGCTGAACACACCCAACGAACCTGCCTCCACCGGCTCTTCTGCAATGATTAAGAGACCGAAAGGTCTCGGCTAAAATGGTTGGTGCTGGGTTGACTCGCCTGGGAAGTTATTCAAATAGTTCTACCACGGCTACGTCGATGCACCCCAAAGTCTTCAAAAAGATAACCAAACTGTACAGACCTAGTGCAAAAAGGTTTATAGTTTTCCATTCATCAGAGTGGTTCTTCATTAGTTGCCTTATGTGAATCCACTCGATTCCTTCCCCGTTACCTTTGTGTCGGAGTCGATCAGTCACCCATTTTTCATCAACCCATGCAATCTTAGCCAGTCCGTTCTTGAAATGCTGACTCTTGATGTGCTTGATATATGCCCTCTCTAGTCTGATGCTTTCGCAGTGCAGCAGGGTAGTATACTCTTCGATAGTAGGCACCATGTCCTCCCGGTTGAAGGTGAAGCAACTATATCCCGGGTTCCAGAATTGAACTAAGGCTCTGATTAAGGGCTCGTCAGTCTTAATATGAAGTAAAAGTGCAATCACCATATCGTTGGCTGAACTTCTATTTCCGATCATTCTTCCAACTGTCCCAGATGTCTTGATGCTCTTGCACATTGTTTTGTTTTAGGCTGATAGAGGCGTAGTTCACCAGCTCTGACACATAACTTCCCTGAAGACTGTCTCCTTTTTCCTTCTGAGTCTTCTCGGACCATATTCGTACCTCGGGGTTTTCAATCTCTTATATTACAACACCTTTGTCCATTAATTCAGATTATTTTGTGTGCAATAAACGCTTTTTAAGGATCAATAGCCTCTCGTAATGATGCAAATGCTAAAAAAAACACAAAGGCAAACAAGTCAGTAAAATATAAATAAAAAAAATAACGAAAGAAAAATAAAAAGATTAAGAAGAAAAAACATGGTTAGGGCGAAAGTGTCCTAGGGTTTGAAATGGGGTTTTGGGATAGGCTCTATTTCTCCATAGTCTCCCGGTTTAGGTTCTAAAAAATGGTACCCGAGTTCTCCTTGTCGGTGCCCCCTTGGGCTTGCCAGACCTTAGTCATAAACCCATCACAAGCTCGTGTGGACTAAGTTAAACTCGAGAGGACACATTCCCTTATGCCCGCATGGTGAATAAATTCACACGAAGATATAAGAAATATGAATCCCGAAGGCTACTTGCTAGGCCCGCACGGTGAATAAATTCACACGAATAAGTCACTTTTACCCCGACTTAAAATAAGGTTTAGAGCTCGAGTATAGAGCCTTAAGTGAAAAAAAAGATTTGAAGGCTGAAATCATGAGAAAACGATTAGTACAACTATTTACTCGAAAATATAATCAAAAGTAAGTAAAAAGGATCGAGATGTTACCTTAAAATTTAAACTTACCCTTTTCTTTAAAAAGACAACTGGAAATTACCTTAGCCTGACTCACTTACCTGTTTCCCCAGTGGAGTCGCCAAGCTGTCACAACCGTCTTTCGGTTGGGCCCGAAATCGGGATTCGACGTAGATTAAATGGATTAGAGTAGCCACCAATCTTTTATTTGAAAATAAATATGTTGACCGGATACCTTATTTCTTAACTGATCTGCGTCTTACCAGTGATGTGTCAGATTCGGGAGTCGGTTACAGTCAAGGAAGGGTTAGCACCTTTGAACTGCCCTTTCGGTACTATGTAATTTCCAGTTGTCTTAAATTAAAAAATTATAAGTTTAAATAAAAAGGTAAAAAATTGATTCAAGTTACTTACCACTGAAAGATTTGAGAATGAACCCTTAAAAACCAGGAAACGTGTTAGGGAAAAAAGAAAATAAAAAATAAAAATAAAATAGGTAAAATAGGGATGGACAAAAAGAAATAAATGATACGACATTTAGATAAAAGGATAAAGAGATTAAAAAAATGACAAAAATAAATTAATAAAATAGTAATAATCTATACACGATCAATGCATAAATAAACATAAGGAAAAAGAAACATAAAAAAAAAGTAAAAAAACGATTAAAATATATACGTGATAATAATATGTCATATAAATAAACTATTAAAAGTATACATATATATATATATATATATATATATACATATAAACGTAAAAATGAAAAAACTAAAAAGCGAAAACATGGATAATGAAACATACATGTATAGATAACTAAAAAAATGATTAAATAAAGTAATAATAATTAAAACTTAAATATATGGGACCAAATTGAAAGTGGAACAAATTAAGTGGCCAGATTACAAAGATTTCGAGTTCAAAACTAATTTAAAATAAGCTTTAAACAAAATGGGGGACTGAATTGGATGAAAATTAATAAAACAGGCCGAATTTTGAAGCGAATTAGTTGGTCAAAATCAAATTTAGTGTTCAACTTGGGCATTTAAAAATGTTAAGGGAGTAAAACGATGTTTACCCTCTTTATTTTGGAAACATGCGGGCCCAAAGAGTCGGGTCGGGCACAGGCGCGGATTTACTGGGCCAAGTATTTAACTCAACTGTTGGGTTTTTTTGGGTTTTTTTTTTGGAGCCAAGCATCAAATAAAGTCAACATGCAAAGGAGGAAACGAATGACAAAGGTAAAACTTGCGGGGAACCCGACTGTTGGAGTAGCAGCGTGCGGCGACGGGTCTTCAAAGGGGGAGAACGGCGTTGGAGATAGGGTGACTAGGGTTCTGGAAACCCTAGTTGTTGTGGGTTGTTTGGATCACTTGCATTTGGGCCACGGGCCTGCAAGCTGTAATATGAAATAGTTATTATAATATATAATATATTTAATATACTATGTATTATAAAGGTGTGACGAAAGTGTTGTGTCTACATTTGTAAGTGTTTATCATTAAAAATTTGTTAAGTAAAATGTGTCACGTATATATATATATATATTTAAATATTATTTAAAAATATTTTAAAAATATCTAAACATGACATGTGTCACTTAACGATTTTTTTAATGATAAACACTTAAAATTATTTATTTAGACATCAAAGATTAATTTTGAATATAATTTAGATATTTATTTTTATATTAAGTATTTAAATAAAACAAGTTTGATAAAAACATATTTTGATTTCTTCAAATTTATTATTCCATTGACATTGAATCTCCAACCCTTACTTCACGTCCTTTCGTTATAGGTAACAACAATCTTCATTTTAATTAGATGATTTTATGGTAAAATTTCATGTTAAATTATATTTTTCATTGTAGTTGAATAACGTTTCATTCAGTAATTATTTGAAGGTTAAATTATTAATGTTTGTTAAAAAATAATTATCCAGTGATAATATGATATATTACAATATTTGAAACTACCATTAGAAATGAAAAAAATAATTTTAAAATATAATGTATCATTTATTTACTCTTCTTCTCCCATTCCGCTGACTCATTTCGCCAATATCCTATTCCGATTAGTTTACGTTCCTATTTTTTAGGGTTTGTATATTTTTTTAATTTTTAATTTATAGATTTTTAATAAATCTGTTCAAAGACTCACCAAACATTAAACTTGCAATTTCTTTGATGGATAATCTATTCAAAGCATGTTTAGAGGCTCCTGCTCTGCGAATCTGTTTAGGATACAAATGGCATTTTATTGAATTTTTTTTTTGTGAGCAGAAAGTTGATAGTAAAACTTAATTGAAGACAAGATATGATGTTCATGTTTCGATTTTGCGAACCAATAACATCAACCATTCTAGAATATTTGTTACGATTTTCACATATCAACCCCATGCTGGTTTGTGAAATTATATAAAAGCACTGAGCCATGGAACATTAACCTTCTTAGTTGGACTACATTGAAAAGCTTATTCATAGTTAATTTCATCCCACACCATATGGATATATAAGCAGCTATGAAGGTAGAAGAATTGAAGAGAGTTACAATACTTGGAACTTGTATGACTCTCTCATCACCCATATTTACGACGATTAAAACACATAACTTAAAAAAAAACGACACCACCGCGACGACAACTTTATCTAGGGTTTAGGATTTTCATACAACTATTACTAGTAATTACCTTAACTTCCATTTTTAATCTTTATTTTCCATGTGGAGAGATGGGCGCCTGGGGCGAACTTTAACCCTCAAAGGATTAGCCATTTCACATGATAGCATAAGAACCTCGGATAAGTCGGGGGTGTTTTGATCCGACGGTAGCCATTGCAACTCACGCACAAGGGTGGCAACCCAGAAGCTGACGGTGGTCAAACCCAAGTTCTTTCCCGGGCATGTCCGCCTGCCCGACCCGAATGGAGCCAACCTAAGATCCGAACCAAGCACCGAAAACTCCACCTCACCCTCTTTAGTAACAAATCTATGGGGCATAAATTCCAGTGGGTCCTCCCACTCTTGGGGATCCCTCGCGATGGCCCACATGTTAACCATTGCCATTGTCCCTTTCGGCACATCATACCCATCGATAGTTGCATCGGTGATAGCTAGGCGGGCCCAAGAGAGAAGTGGGCCTGGCGGATGAAGCCTTAGAACCTCCTTGATCACTGCCGTAAGATAAATCAATTTCGTAACATCAGACTCATCAACGGCCCTTGATCTGCCAACAACTCTGTCAAGCTCATCGTGGACCCTTTGTTGAACATCGGGATGAAGCACAATCCTAGCTAGAATCCACTCGATCAAGACCGCCACGGTGTCAGTTCCTCTGAATATCATTTCCTACACAATAAACAATAGGCCGTATTTAGTAACACCAAACTCGGTTCCGGAAATAATATTACTCCATTTGACTCGTCATTTAGTAAACGTCATTTTTTGACCCAAAAATAAATACAAACCCGACTACTATTGGATATATAGCTTACCCACAGGACGGCGATCATGTCGGAGTCTGATAATTTATCGGCACCTTGGAGAGAGAGTAAAACATCAACAAAATCTCGTGTTTCGCCGTTTGTTTTAGCTGTGTGTTGGGATATAATTTGGGACACAAAACGGTTAACTTTAGGTACAAGTTTTGAGCATCGAACTCTGATTTTTTGAGGGTCGAAATCTGCTAGCCAAGGAAGATGGTCGGACCAGTTTAATGTGCCAAGTAAATCGTACCCTTCATCAATCAGACCTTGAAGTTGTTCAACTTCGTTATCGGTTGAATTTAACTTGTATTTTCGTCCGAATACCGAAGTCATCATGTTGTTCAAAGAAGCTCGTTTTAGCACGTGGCGAACGGGAAAATTTTGGTCATGTTGAGCAAATAAGGTGACCATTTCGGAGGCAATCTCGCGTCTCTGATCCTCGGCGCCTTTTATTTGCTTTGGACAGAAAAGATGCGTGGCCGCGATTCTCCTCAGGGTTCGCCAGTAAACACCGTAAGGAGCGAAGCCGATAGCTCTGTTGAACATCAAGATATAAGCCGACTCTTTAACCGGCCGATCAGCAAATACAGAGCTGTTAAGAATCTCTTTGGCTACATCAGGATTACACGTGACTATAACACGAGTGTCACCGAGGCTGAAGGCCATTAGCCTCTTGGCTCTGCAGGCTTCAGCAGCGGCCGCAATACGGTGGTGAGCCAAGGAGGTGGCCATGAGGTTCATGCTGCCAATCAGAAGCGACCCTCTAGGCCCCGGAATTGGCTTGTTAGAGCGGTTAAAGAACCTGAACTTGCCCCAAGCTGGACCACCGGGGTGAGCCCAGTAAACAAGGGTCATAACAAGCCAGGCAAGAAGGATGATCAGAACTGAGCATGCAAAGCTTTCTTCAGAAAAAACTCTCCATTTGGAGGCGAGGGCAAAGACCCACGCACACTCAATGTCACTTCTCATGGCCCGATTCTGGGAATTAAAAAAAGGTAGTATAAGAAGGATGGTTTGGGGTGTAAACCAATCAGTGTGGTGGCTGCTATTTATATAGGCCAACATCTTAAACGGAGACAACATTAAGTAACCGTTATAGCGGACAACTGGTTTTTTTATTTCATTTATATACTTTAGGAATACGGTGGCACGTAAGTGTTTTTATTAATTAAAGTACAAGCGCCGCCACGATTGCCTGACGAAATATAGGGAAATGAGAGCTCCGACAATGGAGCGCGTGGGAACACGACCTTATTATCCTCGGATCGTGCGCTTCGTTTTATTTATTTGTTGGGAAACTGCACAAAGTGAAAGATGACTGATTGCTAAATGACATTGGGTTGACTGACTCTAGCTTATTGAGGCCAATTTGGTGTGTGAAACGAATAAAGAAAATCACAGGACCATTTTTTTTTTTGCAATATATATTTTATGACTTGTTTTGATATTGTCATTTTCATTCCCTACCCTGGTATGTTCCCAGAAACATAATTTCATTTAGGTGTTGTTAGATAATAGAGAAATAATCAATAATTAGAATGCCCCACAGCTCCAAGTAGATAAAAATACACCTATTGATACAACCTAATTCAGATTTCATTTTAATTTATTAACTGAATATGACCTTTTCTATATTCAAATTATAAATATATTTAAAAAGTTTTGTGTAACTAAATTTCTACGACATATATTAGATCGTTATGTAAAAGTATGGTAATAGCCAGTCTAAATGTCTAATGACAAAATACTTCTGTTAGTTTTAATTTTTTGTTGATACTAGCTTTAAGATATTAATATGGACTAACCTTTGTCGAGTACATGTATTACATTCTGTCTCACTAATAATATAGGTGAAAGAAAAAGGCTTAAACTAAAAAATATCCTTAAACTACATTCAGTGGTGGATCCAAAAATATTTTTCGGGTGGATACATATGTATTAATAACGAAAACTTTTTATATGGGGTGGACACCTTTAGTAGAATGAACAACTACCATAAAGAAATTCGGATTCCAGGATAAGCACAAATGAAATTTCAGGGTGTGCACCTTTAATAAAATGAACAACTAACATAAAGAAATTAAAGTTCTAGGGTGGGCACATGCCCACCTTGGGTTCAACATACATTCGCCAATGACTACACTCCTTTTTTGCTTTAAGCCCCTAAATTATTTTTTAGTCAAAATAAGTCCTTAAACAATTATATGTAATCATTTTAAGTACTTAAATTATTTTTACTGAAAATAAGTCCCTAAAAATGTCTCTTTTTTACTTCAAGCCCCTAAACTATTTTTTTTGCCAAAACAAGTACCTAATTTTGTGCGACGTGTCAACATCTTATTAGTCAAAAAATATTTTTCTAAGTGAAAAAATGATAGAACTTAAAATAATTAAATATAATAGTTTAAATATTTAGTTTCATCAAAATATAGTTTAGAGACTACATAAAGAAAACATAATTTAAGCAATTATTTTTACTTTAACTGAAAGAAAAAATATACATTTGATATTCTTTTTATTAATATATGATGAAATGATAAAGAGTTTATATACATATTTTTTTGTTGAATAATCAGGTAAAGAAAACAGAAAGAACACAAGAAATTTAATGAGGTTCAGCAATGTGCTTACGTCCTTGGTGCCCTAGGCGGCGCTAGAATTTTTATTCAATGTCTCATAGGTTTTGGTTACATCTCTTTTATAATAAATAAACCCTGGTACATATTTACAAAAATAACCTGTACCATACCATGGGCTTTACCAGTATATTTATGAGTCATACCTAACAAATCTCCACCTTGAAGAATATCCTGCCCCTTAGGAAACATTCAATGTGGGTTGGGTTACCTTACTTCTTTAACAACTCGAAACATTCAACAAGTCCAAGCAATGCATGAACTTGTCTGTCGTAACTGGCTTGGTGAACATATCAGTGGTATTCTATCAGTATGTACCTTCTGAAACAAAATCTCTCCAAATGCAACCAACTCTCTGATCTTACGAAACCTTACATCAATATGCTTAGTTCTAGAATGATATACCTGATTCTTAGCCAACTGAATAGTACTTTGATTATCAGAAAGCAACTGAACTCCACCTTGCTGAACACCCAACTCCTTCACTAAACCAGTAAGCCATAAAGCTTCTTTTGCAGCTTCAGCCGCTGCCATGTATTCAGCTTCAGCCGCTGCCATGTATTCAACTTCAGTTGTAGATAATGCCACAATAGATTGAACAGTAGAATTCCAAAAAATAGACCCTCCACCAAGAGTAAAGACATACTCTGTCGTAGATCTTCTATTATCCAAGTCACCCGTATAGTCTGAATCCATATATCCTACAACCAAAAGATTGTCCCACTGATTACCAAAAACAATTCCTTGTCCCATAGTACCTTTTAAGTACCTAAAGATCCACTTGACTGCTTCCCAATGTTGCTTACCAGGTTTAGACATGTACTTACACACTTGACTAATAGAATGAGCTAAATCAGGACTAGTACATACCATTGCATACATCAAGCAGCCAACAACATTAGAATACAGAACCTTTGCCATATCTTCAGCTTCCTTATCTGTCTTAGGGCATTGTTCTGATGAGAGATTAAAGTGATTCACCAATGGAGTGCTCCCTGGTTTTGCGCTGTTCATCACAAACCTTTCTAGCATTTTCTCAACACAACGCCGTTGAGATAGCCACAGTTTCCTTGAGTCTTTGTCCTTGCAAATTTCCATTCCAATAATTTTCTTTGCAGCACCTAAATCTTTTATATCAAATTTCTAACTCAATAAAGTTTTCAAACCTATAACATCATGCATGTTCTTCGCAGTAATTAACATATCATCAACATACAATAACAGAAAATAAAAGAACCATCATCAAGACTCTTAACATAGACACAACAATCATACTCACATCGCTTGTAGTCAATCTTGATCATATAGGAATCAAACCATTTGTACCATTGTCTCGGAGACTGTTTCAACCCATACAAAGAATTCTTCAATCTGCAAACTAAATGCTAGTTTCTAGGTTGAGTGAAACCTTCAGGCTGCTGCATGTAGATCTGTTCCTCTAAATCACCATGCAAAAAAAAAAGTTTTAACATCCATCTGCTCTAAATGCAAATCCCAACTAGCCACCAATGCAAGTACTGCTCGGATTGAAGTGTGCCTGACCATAGGAGAAAAAAATTTCATCATAATCAACTCCTTTCTGCTGTGAAAAAAACTGTTACCAAACGAGCCTTGAACTTCTCCCCTCTTTTTCTGTCACTGCTGGTTTCTTCTTATACACCCATTTGCAACGAATAGGATTCTTACCCTCAAGAAGGTGAACTAACTCCTATGTACGATTGTGATTCAAAGACTCCATCTCCTCAACCATGGCAGCCATCCACTTGTCATTTTCCTGACTAGTAACAGCATCACGAAAAGTAACCGGATCATCACTGCTAATAGTAAGTGCAAAAGAGACCAAGTCTTCAAAACCTAATCAGTTCAGAGGCTTTATATTCGTCCGTCTCACCCTGTCTCTGGCGAGACTATAATTTTGCAAATCAACCGTAGCAGAACCACTAGAAGTCGGTTGAGAAGCTTCTGTTTTCTCAACTGGAAACTGTCTGAAATCCACCACTGTCATGTCTTTCTTCTGCTGCAACATGGGTTGTTCATCATAAACAACATCTCTACTGATCACAATTTTCTTCACAATTGGATCCCAGAACTTGAATCATTTGACACCTGTCTTGTAACCCAGAAAAATGCACTCCTTCGATTTTACATCAAGTTTGGATCTCTCATCAGCAGGTATATGCACGTAAGCAGGATAACCAAAAATCCGTAAGTGATTAAAAGTAACATCATAACCAGTCCATACCTCTTCTGTAACTTCCCCAGCCAATGATGCCCTTGGCGATCTATTGATAAGATAACACGCCATGTTAACTGCCTCACTCCATAAGTGTTTGGGAAGCCCCTCATTCAACCATCAACATCTGGCTCTTTCATTCAACGACCTGTTCATCCGTTCCGCAACATCATTCTGTTGTGGTGTCTTGCGCACTGTAAAATGTCTCTTAATCCCATGCTCCTTACAGAAGTTTAGAAACTGTGAATCTGTGTACTCCGTACCATTATCAGACCGCAAACACTTTATTTTTCGTCCTGTTCAGTTTTCTACCTCAGTTATCCACAGCTTGAACTTCTCAAAAAACGTCAAACTTCTGTTTTAAAAAATACACCCAAACATTCCGTGAACAATCGTCAATAAAAGTAACATAATACCTAGATCCACCCAAAGACGATGTCGTGGAAGGCCCCCATACATCAGAATGCACATAATCAAGAATCCTTCAGTTGTGCTTCCAATCTTGAATGACTTTAGTCTGTTACCAAGAACACAATACTTGCAAAAATCAAGCTTACAACTTTTAACACCATGCAACCGATTTCTTTTATGTAATTTAACCATACCACATTCACTAAGATGAGCAATATGCACATGCCACAGTTTGGAAGTATCATCCTAGGACTCAACAGAATGAACTCCACCTACAACGGTACTCCCTAACAATCTATAAATATTCCTTGCAGTAATATTTTCTTTCATCACAGTCAAAACTCCTTTAACAATCCGAATGGTTTCCCTATCCTCATCAGCCTTAGGGATAAAACCATTCTTATGCAAAGTGCCAAAAGAAATCAAATTCTTCTTCAAATCTGAGATATACCGAACACCACACAACGTCCAAACGAACCAATATTGCAACATCGATCATCACCCAAATAAACAGAACCAAAATTAACCGACCTGTATGTCGAAAACCATTCCCTATTTGGCGTGATGTGATAAGAACATCCAGAATCAAGAATCCAGGCATCCGTCAGTTGAGTCGTTGAAATAGAGAGCATATCACCCTTATTGCAATCAGAAATTTCATCCTTGACCACATTCACAGACTTGGATGAGTCATCATGCTTCTCATCAGTCTACTTTTTTAACTTC